GTATTTATTCTCTATTCTACTCTATTTGATTTATTCTACTCTCCACTCTATTCTCTTCTCTATTCTACTCTATTCTATTCTACTTTGTGAACTGAACATCTCTGAAAGCTGAAAAGATGAAGTCCTCTCACCTGTGCTCCTTCCTGCTTCTCCTCCTCTGCCCGGCTTAACAGGAAGCCTTCTGCCAGGGCCACCGCTTGGGAGCTGGTCTCTGCTCCACACTCCCGGACCCAGCCCTCCATCTGCAGAGGCAGAAGGGCCAGGAATTGCTCCAGGATCACTAGGTCCAACATCTGAGCCTTTGTGCGTCTTTCTGGCTGCAGCCACTGACGGCAAAGATGGTGGAGGTGGCTGCAAATCTCTCGGGGACCCTTCGACTCTTGGTACTGGATGCTCCTGAACTGCCAACACTGGACTTCTGAATGGATGCTTTCCTTCTCCAGGATCTTCTGTCCGATTGTGGCTTGGGTCTCCCCAACCTTTTCACTTTGATCTTCTGGGTGTTGTCCCTCCATTTCCCCCCCTGTATCACAGATCCAAATATGGATAACAGATCTCTTGGTTCTCCAAAGACTTCCCCTCCATACGACCTGGATTATATAAAGAGAAGGTCCACAAGATGCTTCAGATGCTACACCTGAGTACAACACGAAAGTCATTTCTAGAACGTTCCCACACAGGTTGAAGCTTTGACTCTTTAAAGACCCAGGCAGGTAATATTATCAGAAATATTATGAGGAAAGAAAAGATAATGTGGAGTCAGTCAGGTAGGATTACAGGTAGTCCTTGAAGCAATGGGTGGAAACTAATCAAGGAGAGAAGCAACCTAGAACTAAGAAGAATCTTCCTAAACTTGCCTCCAGAAGTTGTGAATGCTCCAACACTGGAAGTTTTTAAGAAGAGATTGGATAACCATTTGTCTGAACCCTATCTCAGCAAGGGGTTGGACTAGAAGACTTCCAAAATCCCTTCCAATTCTCTTATTCTATTCCTGTTCCTGTTCCTATCCCATCCCATATCCTATCCTATCCTATCCTATTAATTTATTGACCATCAGATAACAGATAATCAGAGTTGGAAGGGACCTTATAGGCCATCTAGTCCAATCCCCCACCCAAGCAGGAGACCCTACACCATTTCTGACAGATGGCAGTCCAATTTCTTCTTGAAAGTTTCAACTGATGACGCTCCCACAACTTCCGAGGGCAACTTCTGTACCATGGTTGATTGTTCTCACTGTCAGAAAGTTTCTCCTTATCTCCAGGTTAAATCTCTCCTTGTTCAGTTTCCATCCATTATTCCTTGTCTTGGCCTACAGGTGCTTTAGAAAACAGCTTGAATCCTTCCTCTGTGTGGCAGCCCCTCAAATATTGGAAGACTGCTATCATGTCTCCCCTGGTCCTTCTGTTCACTAGACTAGCCATGCCCAGCTCCGGCAACCTTTCATTGTATGTTTTAGCCTCCAGTCCCCTAATCATCCTGGATGTTCTTCTCTGCACTTTTTCTAGAGTCTCAACATCTTTTTTATAATGTGGTGACCAAAACTGGATGTAATACTTTAGGTGTGGCCTTACTAAGGTTTTATAGACTGGTATTAGTACCTCACTTGATTTCAATTGTATCCCTCTGTTAATGCAACTTAGGATTCCATTGGCTTTTTTGGCTGCTGCTGCACACTGCTGGCTCATATTTAGCTGGTTGTCCACTAAGACTCCGAGATCCCTCTCACAGTTACTGCTATTAAGCCTGGTTTCACCCAGTCTATATGTGTACTTTTGGTTTTTCTTGCCTAAGTGTAGGACTTTACTTTTCTCTACATTGAATTTTATTTTGTTAAGATACAGCCCAGTGTTCTAGTCTGTCAAGAGCCATCTGGATCTTGAGCCAATATTCTTGGGTGTTAGCTATTCCTGCCAGATTAGTATCATCTGCAAATTTGGTAAATACCCCTTCTATTCCCTCATCTAAGTTGTTAATGAAGATATTGAAGAGTACTGGGCCTCAGATGGAACCTTGTGGCACCTCACTGCTTACTTCCCTCCATGTAGACTTAGACCCATTAAGGACTACTCCTTGAGTACGGTTTGCCAGCCAGTTGCGAGTCCTCTAGTGGTGGTGCTATCTATTCCACTTTTTTCTAGCTTACTAAGAAGTAGGTTGTGGTCTACTTTGTCGAATGCCTTGCTGAAATCTAAATATATTATGTCCACAGTATTTCGCTGATCTACTAATTTAGTCACTGTGTTGAAGAATGAAATAAGATTGGTTTGGCATTTAAAGTTACACCACCATTAAAAAAATGTGACACAATTGTTTTTCACATTTACAATCATTGCAGCATCTCGAGGGTCACTTTATCGAAATTCAGATGTTTGACAACTGGTGTGTATTTTTGATGGTTACCATGTCCTAAGGTCATATGATCATATTTTTTGAACCTTTTGACAAGCAAGGTCAATGAGGAAGCTGGATTCCTTTAATAACTGTGTTGCTAACTTAACAACTGCAGTGATTCAACTTAACATCTGTGGCAAGAAAGGCTGAAATGTGGGACAACACTCGCTTAACAACTATCTTGGACACCTAACATAAAAAATGTCATCAAAAAAGCACAACAAAGAATGTTCTTTCTGTGCCAACTCAGAAAGCACAAACTGCCCAAGGAGCTGCTGATCCAGTTCTACAGGGGAATGATTGAGTCTGTCATCTGCACCTCTATAACTGTCTGGTTTGGTTCTGCAACCCAACAGGACAGACACAGACTTCAGAGGGTAATTAGGACTGCAGAAAAAACAATTACTACCAACCTGCCTTCCATGGAGGACCTGTATCCTGCACGGATCAAAAAGAGGGCTGTGAAAATATTTACAGACCCCTCACATCCC